GCGGCTGCAGCCTTCGCAGCGCGGCGCACGGCCTCCGCGGCCGTTGAGCAGCCCTTGCCTCCAGGGGCCGCCACCGCCCTAGCGTGGCGTCTCAACCTCGGCGGTGAGAAGGTCACAGTGGTGAGGTGGGGGCCCGCCTGGCAAGCTGCCTTCCAGAGCGCGGCGTCGTGGCTGAGGTCTTTCGCACCCGCAGGGGCCGCCGAGCCCGAGGGCAGAGATGACCTGCACTGCCTCCTGCAGGCCTTGCACGCCTATAAGCGCCTGTTTCAGACAGGCGGCGCCGAGCCGATCGACGAAGCCTCGTGGTTGCATCCTTACGTGGCCGCCGTCGAGCCCGAGGCTATCCCCGCGGGCGCTGACCTCCAAGCCATGGGGGCGGGCGCCATCCGTGGCATCGGGCTCGGCTCAAAGATCGAGCACAGGAGGCGCGCGGGCAAGTTGGCCTGCCTTTTCGACCTTCTGTACCACGTGCAGGACGGTCACGGCGCCATCCCAGCAGCGCTGTGGGGATCTCATTCCCCTCCGTCCGAGATCCTCGACGCGTTCGCGGAGGTGGTGCCCGTTCCACATCATTCGGGCCTCACGTCCTCGGCAGCTCGTTCCGAGCTCGCCGAATCGGCCGCAGCTGCGCGCGCCGAGCCGCGCCCGCCCTTTGACTGGGCGACCCTCGAGGGAGGGGACGCTCTGCCCGCCGAGATCGAAGCAGGGGCTCGCCGTGCTCACCGTAACATGGGCGGATCCTTCACCTCGGCGCGGGCGATGCTGGCGGAGGCGTCGGGGTTCGAGACCGACGGGCGGGACACCCTCGTTCCGCCCTTCTACGCGTCCAGGAGCAGGAGGGCCGCCACGCTGATCAGCTCTCCCAGCCCTGGCCGCCCTGCGCTCATCCTGTGGTGCGTCTGCGGCCTCTGCATCTCTCTGGGAGCCGCGGCGCCGACCGCAGGCCAAGGGCTTAGTCGGGCTGCGCCTTCCGCGCCCGCTCGCCCTCCGCGCACTCCCTTCGTGCGCGATTCTCACCTCACCTCCGCGTATCTCGATCGTCGCTCGAGATCGATTGATGCGTTCGAACTGTGGTTAGCAGAACACACTGGCGTGCCGCCCGCCACTCTTTACCGTAGCGGGCTACTTCTCGCCCGCTTCCTCGCGACCTTCGGCGTGTGGCTTCATGATGCAGGTTTCCCTCATTATATTCTGGTTCATGCCATCTTGGGAATCCAGAGCGCTCATCCGCATTGGAAGGCCTTTCTAACAGAAGCTTGGGACGTAGCGAAACAATGGAAGCTCGCGGAGCCGCCAAAGCTCCGCCCGCCCTTACCTCGCGCTCTGCTGCGCGCTATGGTCGGTCTCTGTTTCGCCTGGGACTGGCCTGTGATGGCGGCCTTGCTGCTCATGGGCTTTACGATGTTCCTCAGGCCTGGCGAGCTGCTGGCGTCACGCCGCTGTGACTTGTCGCTTCCTTGCGACCGCCTCGAAGTTGAAGGGGGTGCTTTTCTTTCGATTCTTGTTCCAAAGACCAGGAGAACGTACCCGACGCAGCATGCTCGCTGCTCCGATCGGGGCACGGTGAAGATTCTGAATCAAGTGTTTGGGCGGTTGGCTTCCACCGATCCTCTCGCCCCTTTCGGTGCGAGCGGCTTCCGTACTCGGTGGAATCATTTGCTTTCGGCCCTGGGCGTCCCTCTTGCCAAAGCGGGTCAGGGGCTCAACCTGACGCCCGCATGTCTGCGGGGCTCTGGCGCAACAGACTTCTATATCGCTACGGAAGACGTCCCTCGCGTCTTCTGGCGGGGGCGTTGGCGTCAGGCTTCCAGTGCTGAGCGCTACCTGCAAGCCGCCGCCGCTTCCACAGTTCTTGCTGCGCTGCCCGTGCCCGCACGGGCGCGGATCCTGTTCTTCGCCACCGCCAGCGACCGCCTTGTCGCTTCATTTCTCCAAGTCGGCCCCGCCGCTTGGCCTGCCCTACTTGCGGCCGCCCGCCGAAACCTTGTCACTTCGCAAGGTCCTTGAGCACGGGTATGGCTGCCTCGCCGTCGTCGGCGAGCAGGCGGTCTCCCCCGCCTGACGCGCGGCGCCCCGGCACGAGCGCGCGGGACGGGCCTGCCCATTTTGGGCCGCCCCGCGCGCGCGAGCCGCGGCCGCGCTCGGAGACAGCTCGCTAGCGCGCGAGCGGGAGAATGCCTCTTCTATTCTCTGTGAGCAAGCTCCTGCTGTCTCCGCAGCTTCTCTGCCCCCCTCCCTCCTCTCCCAATCTAAGGCTGATGGGCGCTGCCTCGCCGTCGTCGGCGAGCAGGCGGTCTCCCCCGCCTGACGCGCGGCGCCCCGGCACGAGCGCGCGGGACGGGCCTGCCCATTTTGGGCCGCCCCGCGCGCGCGAGCCGCGGCCGCGCTCGGAGACAGCTCGCTAGCGCGCGAGCGGGAGAATTATAAATGTTGCCTACCGGAGGCCAGCATGTGGGAGGAGAAAGAGATGATGTTAAGAGGACCGAAAGCCGAGGATCGAGGATCGAGAATCGAAGTCCGAGGATCGAGGATCGAGATCCCAGAGTCGAGGATCGAGGTCCGAGGATCGACGGCGGCGAGGTCCGAGGATCGAGGATCGAGGTCCGAGGGTCGAAGATCGAGGCCCGAGAAAGCTTGCTTGTTTCGCTTGAGATATCCTCGAGTAAATGTTTGTTTCGCTTGAGACATCCTCTACCAATCTCTCGCTTCGCTTAAGGCATCCTTGGTTTTTTGTTTCGCTTGAGACATCCTCAAACAATTGCTTGTTTCGCTTGGGACATCCTTGCAATAATTGTTTGCTTCGCTTGAGACTTCGTCGGACAATTGTTTCCGTGGATAGTAAACCACAGGGATAAAAAAAAAAAAAAAAAAGTTCAGGGGGCCAGGGGGAGAAGGAGAAAGACAGAGAAAGAGAGACAAAGAGAGAGAGAGAGAGAGACATAGAACGCGAGAGAGGAGGAGGGGGAGGAGGAGGAGGAGAAGGAGGAGGAGGAGGAGGAGAACATCCAAAGTTCCAAACCTATTATATTCAATTTGTAAACGCACAATGGAAATCCAGATTTTCATCTGCTCGTGTAGGTTGCTTATTTGCCTCGGTTACCGTGGATAGTAAACCACAGTGGTACAAAAGTTCAGGGTGGGGCAGGGGAGAGGATGTCTCTCGCTTCGCTTGAGACATCCTCGAAGAATTGTTGGTTCTGCTTGAGACATCCTTGCGACAATTGATCGTTTCGCTTGAGGCTGCCTCCAAACATTGCTGGTTTCGCTGGAGACATCCTCGAACACGTCTTCGCTTCGCTTGATGTTGCTATCTCAACATAAAAAGGAAGTTCACCTCGATGTTGAATTTTTCACAGTGATAAAGAAGTTCGGCCTCCGTGCCCCGCGCCCCTGACCAAACTCTCCTTGGCCGTGGATAATCAACTCTAGCTTGGAAAGGGGGGGGGTCCTTTATTATCATCGGCATGCGGTTAGGGCTTCGTCTGCGAGGCACCGAAGAAACTCACATGTCTCACTCGGCGGATTGCAGCGGAAGGCCGGCAGCACAGATTCTTCGCCTGCTTGGCCCGCGAGCGGCCCCTCCTACGGAACGCTTGGTTCTCCACCTCCTTGGCCGCCTTGCCGCGCGTGGCGATGTCGTACTGTCGGTGGTGTCCGCTGCTGCCAGCGCCCCATTGCGGCGCACCATCCTGAGCGACTTCTTCAGCACGAGGTAGTGGTTGACAGCCATGGTCCACTTCACGTCGCCGCCGCCGCTGGTCTCCTTGGTCTCCACGTCCTCGGCCCCGACGTCCTCTGCACCGTCCTGCTTCTCCTGCGTGTTGCCGCCCTTGGCCCCGAAGCATCCGGTGGCCACGAACTTTGGGATGCGTCGTGCACCAGCTGCCCCATCTGAATCAGCGTCTGGGTCGCCAGCTTTGTCTCGTTCGGCTACAACCCCTGCTGCGCCGCCGTCAGCGCTACCTCCTTCTTGGCCCCCGCCCGCCTCTACCACTCTGAAGAGCACCGCGCGCGCCATCGTGTCTGGCCGCTTCCCCCAGCGGGCTGCCCAGGAAGATCGTCTCCAGCTCCTTGGCCGACTCCCGCGCCTTGCGGCCCTCCTCCTCCTCCTCGTCCTTCTCCTCCTCGTCCTTCTCCTCCTCCTCCTCCTCCTCCTCCTCCTCCTCCTCCTCCTCCTCCTCGTGCGTCAGCGACTTGTCCAGCGCCACCTTCACCTTCGAGGTGGAGACCAGGTTGGTCTGCTCGTTGAGGAGGAAGCCGAAGTTGTCGTCCCTGTTGGAGGCCCGCGCCGTGTCCCCGTGCTGCCGCACCAGCCTCGCCAGCGCCCTGCCGAGCGGCCCAACGACGTCCCTGGCCTCTGCTCCCGCCTCGACGGCCGCCCCCGCCTCGGCTGCCCTCCGCCTGCTGCCCCCCTGCGGGGGCTTGCGCCCAGGTGGATCCGCTTGAACATCTGCTCCCGTGGCGGCAGGTGGCGGCAGTGCCGGTCCAGGGAGGGCTTCCAGGGTCTCAGGCCTCAACGGCATCGGGGTCAGACGGCATGGGTTTGGTGCAGCTGCTCCGAGGCCCCGCAGGGACTTCCGGGAGCAGGGGAGCAGCGAGAGTCACGGCATGGAGCAAGCTCGCGCGCGCCCGCAGGAGAGGAAGGCCATGTTTGGGATGCGCCCATGGTGTCCAGAACCCGCGTTTCGGATGCAAGTCCCGGGAGGTCAAATTCTGGTTTTGCCCTGGTCCGAAGTCCGGCTTAATCCGGCTTACTCCCGCTTAATCGGGCTTAGTCCCGCTTGATCCGGCTTAATCCTGCTTAGTCCGAGACCCACTCCAGCGTAACAGCTCCCACATGGGGCTTAATATTTTTTTAATCTTTCCGGCGAAAACCTACAAGGAGTTGCCTCCTAACATGGCCGTTTGGGCTCAGGCCACCGCTGCCTGACTTTGCAACCTTACTTCGTAGCCAAGATCGCACTGCACTTCCTCCGGCCAGTCTTCGGCACTCAGACGAGATGCTCGTGCCAAGGGGCCTGACGGTGCTCGGGGCTCTTGGCCTCGCCGCCGCTCTCGCGCGGACGGGCGCGGACAAGCGCCACAGCGGGGCTCCTCTTTGGACGGGCGGCGCTGTGGGGCAGACGCAGGCGGAGCCGCAGGACGTTCGCGAGGGTCGGGGAAACGTAAGACTCGTGAGACTCGATGTTCAGCGCGAACGTAAGACATGGGTACAGAAAGAATGGGTACAATGCCCAACAGCAGTTCCTGTTCATTTTGAAAGGAATCGCTGTCCACGCCGCCGCGGCCTGTGTCCATCCGAGAGAAGGCCGCCTGCCCAACAGCGACGCTGTTGGTTTGGGACAACATTTGTTGTTGGGCATTGCATCCATTTTTTCGTACCCATTTCGGGCGTCCAACAAGGTCGTTGGAACCAGGGTTTGCCGACGTGTTTCGACGTTCCCGCCCTGAAACTGTGACGGCCCAGTTTTCATGGGATGCTCGCAGCGGGAGCCCTCATCAAATCTCAGTCGGGGCCCTGTCATTCTCTCGACGGCCCTGTCAGGCCAGCTCGAGTCTCCCCAGCCCGAGTCTTACGTCTCCTCGACAGGGGGCCGCCGCCAAGGGCGACGGCGACTTGCAGGCCCAGGACGCGTTTGACCGTGCCCTCTTGGCCGCGATCAAGGCCGGGTGCCGACCTGAACAGCGTTTGGGCGATCTCGTGGGCCGTTTTCGCTTCGAGGGCGCTTTGCAACAGAGGGGGACTGGAGGCAAAACTGGGGAAAACGAGCACAGCATGGAAACGAAAAACACAAGGGACAACACAGATCGAAGACATTATTAGGGAAAACGCACACAGCATGAGAACGAGAAGCACTGTTCATGCCGAGCCCCGACGAAGGCCAAGAAGAGGAGGACGGTGCCAGTCTCCGAGGCCGAGGCCGAGCACGAGCAGCAGGTGCTGGCCGAGCTGGAGGCCAAGGACCAGGCCGAGCTCGCCGCCGAGATCGCCAAGGCCGAGAAGGAGGCAAGCGAGAAGGCCGAGGCCCGAAGAAGAGGAAGAAGCGCCGTGCACATCATCTGTCTGGTGCTCTGCGCGGACTTCCCGGTTCCGCGCCGGGGCCCCCTGGCGGCGCCTCCGGCGCCGCCTCTGGCGCGCTCCGCGCGGCGGGGAGGGGGCTCTGCGCAGATCCGAGAGATGCGCGCGGGCCGTCGAGCGTGTGCAGTCAAGACGCTGAAAGGAGGCACAGTGTTGGGTCGGGAGGGGCTCGATGTCCCTCAGGTTCCTCCGGTGCTGTTCCTCTTGCCCTCCTGGGGCACGGAGGCGCCTACAGGGCCAAGAAGGGGCTTCGTTCCTCGTTTAGCGTTCCTTCTTTCAGCAGCCCGACTGTACGTTCATGCCTTTTTTTCATCCTCGAGAGGCCATGAAGGCCGCAGTGCAGCTGCAGCAGAAGATGGAGAAAGAGGAGGCGGAGAAACGAGCCATGGAGATCAGGGCGGCCAGGGATATGCAGGCACAGTATGAGGCAGAGCTCGAGGCCGAGAGCAAGCGGGAGGCCGAGTTCGAGGCCTGGGCAAAGGCACATCCAGAGCTCCAGAGGTAGGATTGTTGCTCGCCCTAGTGCAGCCGCCGTTCGGTTTTACCCCCACGCGTTTCCTGGCAATCGCATTCCTGTCTTTGCACATCGCCACATGAGCCCGCTGTTCCTGTCTCGTTGAGGCTCTTTCTTGTCACAACCTGTCAGACATGATGTGCACTTAACTGCCATGATTTTGATCATCGGCAGTTTCTTGCATGTTGCTCTCCGGACATACTGCGTGTGGCATGTTTGCAAAATACTTTCAGTAGTTCGTTGGTGAGTCTCTCGCTCCCTGGTCTGTCCCCGCACGACCTCCCCGTCACCTACTATTCCGCAACGCCTCAGATCCATTTCCTAGCTAGCCTCGCCTGGGTTTTTTTCCCTCTCTGCTTGATAGCCCCCTCATTACTGGTGCTCTGGGCTGGTGTCCCTTCCGGGTCCCTCGGTGCCCCTTCCGGGTCCCTCCTATCAGCCTCGCGTGCCCCTCCCAGTGTGCGCCCGCTCGCTTCCGGTGCACCCCGCGTGGCCAGAGCCGTTGCCAGGAAGCGCACTCCGCAGCGTGCCCGCTCGCGGCCGGCGCTCTCTTGCTTCGAGCGACGCCGGGCCCCACGACAGGGGACGGATGGCGAAGGTGAGACACGGTGCGGCAGCTCCGCCCGGGCGCCCGTGCGGCCTTGGCCTCAGTCGGGCGGCCCCTGGGAGGCGTCGCCAGCCGCCAGCGCAGCGCGGGGCGCCAGCGCGGGCCCGCTCCGTGGGGACGAGCACGAGCGCGGCGGCGCGGGGCGGCGCGGGGCGGCGCGGCAGCGAGAGGGCCCATGCAGGCTGCATGCGACCGCTGGCGCACCTCGCGCTGCCAGCGCTTTTGCCAGGAAGTGCGCCAGGGCGCCCACTCCGAGCGTGCCCGCTCGGGGAGGGGGGGGGGCAGCTACCCTGAAATCTCGCTCTCTCCCTTTCGGCTCCTCCCTCCTCTTCTCTGCGCCGATCGGCGGCGCGCCCACGATTTCGGATGCAACTCCTGGGAGGTCAGATTCCGGTTTTGCCCTGGTCCGAAGTCGGGCTTAGTCCGGCTTACTCCCGCTTGATCCGGCTTAGTCCCGCTCAATCCCGCTGAATCCGGCTTAGTTCTGCTTAGTCCGAGGCCCACTCCAGCTTGACAGCTTCCAAATGGGGCTTACCCCTCCGTGGTCTTTCCGACGAAAAGCTCCCAGTGGTTGCCTCCTAACATGATGATGGGAGGCAGCGGGGCCAGGCCTTCTGGGGGGGCTCAGGCAGCTTCCAGCCTCTTCTCGATTTGCCTTCGGAGCCCTTTCCAAAGCTGCGCAGTGCGCTTGTCAGGTCGGGGGGCTGCTGAGAGGCCCCGCCGCCTTCGGAGGAGGCCAGCCGCTCTCGCCTCCCCCTCGGCGCCCGCCGATCTCTGCGCCGACAGGCGACGCGCTCCAAGGGATCGCCGCCACCTCCGTGGTCACGGTGACAGCCGGGAGCCAGGCGCGCCGCCCGGTGTTCTCCCGAGAGAAGGGGGGGGGTCGTCGTCGTCCTGCGTCGTCCTGCGTCGTCCTTCGTCGTCCTTCGTCGTCGTCGTCGACAACAGCGTCGTTGTTGTCGTTCGTCCTTGTTGTCGCCGCCGCCCAGCCGCAGCGCGGCCAGCACGTTTGCAGCCAAGGCGGGGAGATGGGGACGGCTTTGGGCCCAGGCGGGGCTCTCGTTGTCGGGCAGTTCCTTGGGTCCAGGTCGGAGAACCCGTTCGTGGCCGAGACTCGCCATGGCCAGAGAAGCACCCTTGTTCTGTATGCAGCGTTCCTTGTGGCAGCACGGTGGCTATTGAAGGCGGAACTTTGTGCAGGGAGGGGTTCCCAGGGTCCCAGGGGCAGTTCGCCATGCTAGCAGTGCGGTGCCCAGTGTCTTGTGACGCGCAGTTCGCAGCGCGATGGCTGTCTTGGACATGTGGTCGATCCTGGGCCTCTGGCGACCCCAAATCATCGCGCCTGATGCTTGTCCCACTGTTCGGCATCTGGAGGCCGCTTCAGGGCCAAGGGGAAGCGTCACATAAGCGGCCCGTACGAAACATTCTAAGCTGGAGTAGTGGGCCTGGCGCAGATAGGTCGGCGGTGGGATGTGCAATCGGTCATTCAGATTGTGTGTTATTGCATGCAATATTGCGCGGCAGTTGCATTTTGTGGGCGGACACGAGCGATTGCACGGGCAACAACAAGGAAACACATTGCATCCACGCGAAACCATAGCACCCAGCTCGCGAAAGATTGCATCCAGGCGCCGACGATTGTACTTACCATTGCGCCTCTCCCCGCGAACCCATCTGCGGCAAACCCAGTACTGCAGTTGGAACATGTGTTCGAGTTAAGGTGTCATGTCGAGAGTTCCAGGGGCTGGCGACTCAAAGTACTCGCCAGATCGTCAGAACACTGAACTGGGGGGGCCGTCGGACAGCGATGAATCCCGACCCAGTGGAGCTGGCCGAGCCTAGGAAACGTCCCACACATCGGGGAAGACAGAACGCATCGACCCTGTAATGTTCACCATCACGACAAAGCCATCTTGGAGTTGGCCAGAAGGGTGTGAAGCTAGAGGAGAGCAAACATTGTCACTCGCCGATACTTGCGGTGAAGAGGGTTTATCCCGCTGCGGGGCCATCGTTTTTTCGTATGTTTGGACGTTGCATGGTTCCAGCCTGTCGGCTGAAACTACCCCGATTGATTACCCCCACCAGCTCAACATCCTGTCTGGAATGCGGGCAGACCAGAAAGCATGGCACCGTGCTGCCAGTCGGCGTCTGCCGCCCACGCTTTTCCCCCACGCCTTTTGGACCTTGGAGGGAGTTGTTCTTACATTTTGTCCGAGCTCCGCGCGAACTCTCTGGGAAGGAGGCAAGGGCTCCCCCGAGGGCGCGAAGTTATTCGCGCTTCGCGCTTCGCGGTCCTCGTTCCTTCTCCTCCTCCTCCTCGTCTTCCTCTTCTCCCTCTGGGGGGGCGGCGCGAGAGCGCGAAGTTATTCGCGCTTCGCGCTTCGCGCAGCGCGAAGCGCGAAGTTGGGAGCCCTTGAGGAGGGCAGGTGCACACCAATTCCGCCTCTCTTATGCCGAGGGTCCTTGGGTGGCCGGCGGCGGCGAGCCCGACGACGACGGCTCCGATGACGCGGGTGACGACGACGGAGATGAGGACGACGACGACGGCGGCGACAACAGCGACTTGCGCGGGCAAGGTGCTTCTCCCTTTCCTGACCCAGTGGCCTTCTCGCAGCGACAGCGGTGGCGGCGGCAGTGACAGCGAACATCAGGAGGCAGGAGGTGGGAGGCAGGAGGGACGAGGGTGGCTGAAAAAAAGGGGCAGTCTTAAAGTGCAACGAGGGGCGCTGCCCAGGCGCGCTCCACCTCCACGGTGCGCGGCCGAGCTGGGGCAGGATGCCCACGCTCAGCCATTACGGGAACAACGAGAGAGGGTCCTCGGGCGCGGTCCCCACCTTCCTCGAAGATGGGCCGCGAAAGAATGTGTGGAAGTCGCTCGGCTTGGATCGGAGCGGTCACGCCCGCGACCTCAAAGACCGCGCGGTCCTCGGGGGACCTGATCGTTCCCAGCAGCAGGCCGCCTGCCGATCATTGCGCCCACCTCGTGTGACCCGCACGTGGGCGCTCCACCCTGTGTGCGCGGGCGGCAGTTCAGTTGGCCTGGGTGCGGGCCTGCCGGCGCGCGGACACGCGCTGCTGCTCCTGAGTGGCGCGCGCTGCACCAGCGGCAGCGTTGCGGACTTCGCTGGGCTGGCTGCGCGCCGCATCGCGCGGCTCCCCAAGGTGCCCGACTAGTGGGCTCCGCGCCGGGCGTCGGCGATTGCGCCAGCCGCCCGTTTTGCTTGCCCCCCCAACAAAAACAGGCCAGCTGCATTGCCGACGGGACGGGAGAGGGTGGAGGGTGGGGATCAGGCGGAAAGCACGACGTCGACGGCAAAGGGCTCACAGATGGAGGGTTCCATCAGCGATGACAGATGGCCTGGTCGATGGTGCTTTGTGGTACTGGTAAGAGCGACACAGCATGGCAACGGCATCGAGCGTGATCTCGAGGCGCTGATCGGCGCCGCCGCTCTGGGCCGCAGTCGTTGTATTCCTTGCGTCTGCACCAGTCCGCTCACACCGACGGACAGACTGACATCACGGGGCGGCGGACACGTTCAGTGGGAGGGACGAGGGCCAGAAGAAGAAAAGTACCAATACTGCTACCTTTCCTCGTTTTCCCCTTCTTGGGCCTCCTGGGAGGCCCTCGTCGCCACCGTTGGATTCGTTTCGAAAGTACTAAGTATGGTCAGGCAGCACCTCGGGAGAGGTCCGGGGGGGGCAGCGCTATCGGTAGGGACGGAGTGGAGATGACAAAATAGCTTGGCCCAGGCAGGCCCTTTCGTTCTCCGTCTCGTTTGGTGTCGCTGGCGAGCCGGGCGCCAGGACTTTTACAACGTCTTGAGACACCCTCGCAGCCACCAGGGCAGGGGAAACACAAGACATTGAAAACCAGGAGTCAAACAAGAACAATCGCATGGACACAAATTGTCGGAGGTCTGCGCAGATGTCTTGGATCTCTTCCGTGCCCTATCTCATCTACGTCGCCTGCCTGCTCCGTTTCGCACGCCGCTCTCTTTATTAGCCTCGACCTGCGCCTTCTGCGCCTTCCGCGCTGAAGGTGCCACCGCGATGTGGCCGTGGCAGCGCGACACCTGCCGCGCGGAAGGTGTGGAAGGTCAGGGGGCCACATGCGAACCCTACCCCTACCCCGAACGATGTGAACCACACCCTCCCCCTCAGAAATCGTGGGGTGTAGGGGTAGGGTTCGCATATGGCCCCCTGAAGATGCACGTCGAGGGTCCCCTGCCTTCTGTTTGCGCTGGCTCGTGTGCTGCCCCACAAGCACCGTGTACACTGGAGCACCACACGAGGCCATGGCCTCACGCCCCTTGCCCCCACAGGGCACGGGCACGTTCACGTGCCCGTGCCCAGCAAGCGCGCAACTCAAGCAGTGGCGAAGCGTCCTGGCGGGCCTATAGACCAACCAAACAATGCTTTAAGAACGTGTTGTAGTTTCCACGAAATGTTCTTAGAACATTTCTGGCTGGGACTGTTTTGTTTTAGCACATCGGGTTTATGTTATAAGGACATCGTTGTTATTATTGTAATAGATCAGGTTCTGAGATTTTTCGTGGTAGGCCTATAGGAATGCCAGGACGGTCGGTCCCTGCTCAAGCAACCCTCGACCTGCACTTTCCGAATCTTCCGCGCGAAAGGTGCAGAAGGTGCAGACCGAGGGAAGCCAGACCCCCGACATCGTGTTTCTTTTCGCAGCTGTGGCCCCCCGGAGTTCTCGACGCATTCCCTGCAAGACCGGTTTTTCGCGTGAGTCGCGTTTTGACGGTCCCGCGGCTCGGCGGGATACCCCAGGTACAGCAACAGCCCCAAACGCACGTCGTGTTTTCTTCTCACGACGCGAGCATGCCTGGGACCTCTGTACGGATCACCTCCGCTCTTGGACGTGTCGCGGGGGCTCCTTAGCCACTGTGTCGATGCTGAGCTACACTGTCGATGCCTCGTTTCCCCAGGGCTTTGTTGGACTCGCTCGCTCGAGCCCTTGACACGTGTGCGGAGCTGCACGGGCGAGACCACGCTTTCCTGCACGGGGCTCTACTGCGCTCCTTTCTCTGGACGCACACCGCGTGCGGCGGCGGAGAGCTCGAGAGATCCACGGCCCGGGCAGGCCCCGGAGGAGCGCCCGCGCGCGCCCAGGGCATCCGCGCTGGGCTCTACCGCTTCCAGCTCCAGGCCACGAACCCGCCCGCCACCATCCCGCCGCAGGCGGACCCGAGCTCGGACTGCGGGCGCGCCCCGCGGCCCCCGCCGCCGCCCCGCCGCGGCACGCCGGCGGCAGGGCGTCCCGGGCAGGCGGGCAGCGGACTCCGAACCCTGCCATACCTCCGCCTCGCATCGGTTCAGGATCGGCACGAACGGGATGTCAGAGCCCCGAATCATCAGGGGTAACTCGGGTCAGGGCTAACTCGGGTTCGTTTTTCGGGATTCCGAACCCGACTTACCCCGGACCCGATTTACCCCGGATAATTCGGGCGTCCAGAGCCCCGAATCATCAGGGGGAACTCGGGTCAGGGCTAACTCGGGTTGGTTTTTCGGAATTCCGGACCCGACTTACGCCGGACCCGAGTTACCCCAGATAGTTCGGGCGCCCAAGAATGGGTACGGAGAGAATGAGAGCAATGCCCAACAGCAGATCCTTTGCATTTGAGCAGGGCTCGCTGTCGGTGTCGCCGCGGCCTGTGCACATTTGGAGACAGAAGGCCGCCTGCCCAACAGCGGCCGCTGTTGGTTTGCGACAACATTCGTTGTTGGGCATTGTACCCATGTTGTCCGTACCCATTTCGGGCGTCCACAGAGGATAATCGATGGCCGGTGGGGGTAGGGTCCGGATGTCGCAAGCTATCATGGGTAACATCAGGGGCGGTTCGGAGTTCGGAGTCGGAATCTGTCAAACGGTTTTGTTGGTTGGTTCTCGGCGGCTGTCCTGTCTCGGGATGCCTTCCAGCGGCTGCGCCTCGCCAAGGGACGTCCCAGGGGTGCCCAGATCGTTCCGAACGGACGCCGGAGAGCCGAGGCAGGACCCGAAAGCCAGGTGGGGAGGCCCTCGGAGGGCCGCATCGACCCCACAACGCCCATCGATCGCCGATGGTGGCCCGACAGCCCACCCCGCCCAGGAGCGTGCGGATTCGCCATCGGAGGCCCATCGCCGACTACTTGATTGTTTCTGGTGAAGCCAAGACACAGACCGATCCAGGGGGGGGCAGACGGGGACAGGGGGACCAGTCGAGGAAGTCAGCGGCAGGGCAATGCATTAAGGAGCCCATTTGAGCCCCGCCCCCTCCTTGACCTCCTCTGGAGTCCCCCCCCTTCCTCCTTAGCCTACTCCTTCTCCGCAGCCCCATCTTACTACCAGTTTGAAGCATATCCCTATCCTTATGTTTGACATCACCTCACCTCGATGCCGATCTTAAGGATTCCCTCAGTTTATGAGGGCCTATCCCTAAGATTGTCCTCGTTTTTTGCTCGCCCATCTTAGGGATAGGGATACGTTCGAGGCTGGTTACCATCCTCCTCCCCGCCTCCTCGAACTCCTTCTCCGCAGCCCCCCGCTCTCCTCCTCTGCTGGGCCGGCTGGTGGGCCCTGGCGGCGGCCGGTCTCGGCCTGAGGCCCGGGGCTGCCGTTCTTCGCCGCTCGCCCCTCGCCTCCCACACCGTACGACTGTACGCTCTGCAGATCGCTCGCGGCTTGCCTCTCTGTCCGTTGTCGGGGCAGCCCTCGCGAAGGGCAGCGGACTTCATCATCCCAGCTGTGGCTTCTCTCTGGTCTTCTCTTGCGCATCGTCTTCCTTCTCTGGTACGCCCTTCTCTTGCTTGCCAGTGTCGTTTTCGCACTGTGCGCGCTCCCCCCCCCCGTTGCTTGGATCTGGAAAGGAGCAGCTTCTTTTAGCACGAAGTGCAGGTGCGCCAAATAAGGAATCGCCCTGCCAACGGGTGCCCCAGGGACACTCCTTATCCCCCGATGGTCCCAGGGACCCGCAGGAGCCACTGCGCACCTCGGGACGTGAAAAGATCGACGAAGAGTGTGCCCACGATTTTTTATTGAAAGGTTTCTCAACATGTGTGTTTCGGATGCAACTCCTGGGAGGTCAAACTCTGGCTTAGCCCTGGTCCGAAATCCCGCTTCATCCGGCTTAATCTCGCTCGATCCCGCTTAATCCCGTTTAATCCTGTTGAATCCTGTTCAATCCGGTTTACTCCCGCTTAATCCCGCTTGATCTGGCTAAAACCTGCTTGGTCCGAGGCCCACTCCGGCGTAACAGCCCCCCAACGGGGCTTACAGTCGGGGCGCTGAAGCAGGAACCCTTTTCGTTGGGGAGGGGCTCCGTGTTCCTTGATTGTTTCACAGCTTGCCTTAGGTTTTCCTCAGGTATTCGATGGGAAATGGAACTTGAACTGACGGGAAACAGGGGCCTCGTTCCTTATTTCGGGTTCCTTAGGTCAACGACCCGACTGCAATCCTCTTTCATCGTTCCGACGAAAGCCTCCCAGTAGCTGCCTCCCAATGTACTCCTCCGGGGGGGAGGTACGCGTGCTGCTGGAACTTCGGCACGACGGTCGCGCAGGGGGCGATACTCGACGCCCCGCAGTCGATCCCATGCTTCGGGGTCAACGGGCGCGCCCGCCCCGCGAGCGCGAGCGGGAGGGAGAGGGGAGGAGGAGGAGGAGGAGGAGGAGGAGGAGGAGGAGGAGGAGGAGGAGGAGGAGGAGGAGGAGGGGGATGGGGGCGAGGGGGAGGGAGAAGGAAGACAATGCTGAGGACGAGGGGGACGAGGAGGAGGAGGGGAGCGAGGGGAAGAGGAGCAGGGGGATGGCGGAGGAGGGCAGGCGAGGCGCAGGGAGGAGCCACGAAGTAGAGGAGGTGTGCGAATGTTCCCTTGAGCCGTCGGAGGATCCCGGAGGATTCCACGCGACTGCGGAGGCTTAAAACACAACTCCCAGTGAGCATGCTTCCAGAAGGGGAGGAGTGAGGAGGACATGTAAACCCAAGACGCACCAACGGTTGTGCAACACACCCTCCCTCCAAGTTCCCTCATCATGGGTTTCTGCAACCATTTATTGTCATTGCGGGGAGTGCCCTGTTGGAAGACAACCGTCCGAGCTTTTTCAGTTGTGCTAAAACACCATTCCTGGGACTTCAGGGCCGTGATTCGATGTGAATGTGATGTCCTGGCGATCCCAAGTCGTGGCAATGCACAGGTCCCGGGCCTTCAACACCGCGAATCTATGTGACTTCCCTGCGTCCTGACAGTCCCAGGTCCTGCCAGAAACGCATTCCTGGGATTTCAACCATACGAACCCTTATAGATCTTGCGCACTGTCAGAAGGAAGGTGCGCGGCGATACGGCGAAAGCTACATGGTGATAACAAGCCGCTTCCTATCGTCGGAACTGTTGCGAATTCTGAAGACGAGTGTCCGCGGCGCTGCGGGAAGAGTCACACCTTGAAAGGAAGCCACCCTCGGTTTTTGAAACTGCTGCAAACGTTTTAAACGAATGCGCGCGGCGCTAGGGCGATCCTCACATGTTGAAAGCCACCTGTCCTCAAGTCTTGAAGCTCGCGCACAGTGTTGTTCAGACGAACGTGTGCGGCGTCCCAGCGAGAAACACAGTTTGAAAACCACCCTCCCTCCATCCGCGAAGATGTTGCACGTGCCAAGCTTCAATATTCAACATTGTGAGGAACTCTTGGGCGAGACGCCCGGCCCGCCCGAACAACATTCCTGGGAGTGCGACAGGGAGGAGTTACTTAAAATGAGAAGAGATGGAGGAGGACGACTACAGGAAGGAATAGCATGAGAAGGAAGAGAAGGAGGAGGAGAAGAAGGTGGAGGAGGAGGAGGAGGAGGAGGAGGAGGAGGAGGAGGAGGGTAATGGCATGATGCAACCTGGGAGGAGAAGGAGGAGGAGGAGGAGGAGGAGGGTAATGGCATGATGCAACCTGTGGCCAGACCGCCTGACGGTGCCAGGTCTGCCCAACCTGCCACACGGCCATTCCCCGCACGTACCCATCTTGATGTGCGGCCCCCATGCGCCAGTGGCGTCGCTAGGGGTGTCCCTACCCCCAACCAGAAGGACGTCCCGACGGATAATTGTATAGACAGCGCGCGTTCCTAGAGGGCACTCTGAACCGTATTGGGGCAGTCTTGGGGCCTCCTGGAGGCATCTCGGGGAACATCTTGATCCATCCTGGACTATCTTCCGCCACCTTGGAGTCCATCGTGGCAAGTTTTCTGGGAGGCATTCTGGCCCAACAGCCTCCCACGCATGCCCCAGTATACTCAAATGTGACACACGCCTGATGTCTGTGTATGAAGCGTTTGGTCGGGGTTAAGGGCGCGGCGCCGACTCGAGCCACCCCTCTCAAACCAGATCAGGTACCTCTTGCGGCCCTCTTTGGACGCTCTTGAGGCGCTACTGGACGCTCTCGGTGGCGTCTTGGAGCCCTGATGGGGCCCTGTTCGGCCTCTCTTGGGCCATCTTGGGTCCACCTCAACGCCTCATGCGCGAATCGGAAGTGAACTGGCGAAAAGGTACAACACATTGTTGTCCCAAAGGTCTGGGAACGATGCTGGCCTCTGGGGAGTTCTGTGGGAGGCAATCGAGAAGCCGTCCGTTCGGAGCCGCGGTGCTGGGGCCTCTTGGAAGCATGTTGGAGGTTGTCGCGAGCCATCTTTGGGGGCTCTCTTGGGCCACCTTGGATTCATCTCGGGCTACATCAGCAGCCATCACGCAGCCATCTGGGGCAATCTGGGATAGGGGGGAAGCTTCCCACAAGCCGCAATCTGCCTCGCTCACTCCCGCTTGGCCAGGTCAGTAACGCTGGCGAGGTGCGCCACGTGTGCCAATCGCGCCGCACGCACCAGGTGCGCCAGGCGCTCCAGGGGCCCGCGCGTACAAGGTGCTCCTGGTGCGTCAGATGCGCCACGTGCTCTACGTGTGCCACGTGGGCCACGTGCTCCAAGCGCGCCAGGTGCGCCACGTGCGTGACGCGCGCAAAGTGCTCCAGGTGTGCTTGCGCTTGTCAGAGCACACATCGGGCAATGTAGCATTATCCTTATCACACGCAAATTCAGCACAGTGGCGGGGCGTCAATCATGTTGTATTTGAATGTGCGTCTGCAGCCGCTCTGCATGTTTTACAGAGCTTATTGGCGGTGCACATCCCGCAATTTAGTAACACCCCCGACATGCCCGTCAACAGAAAGCAGCGCCAAGTGATCGCGGGGAACCCGCGCGTGGTCGAAAGTGTATTTTCAATGTCTAACAGCTTTCCTTTGAGGCTGGTATTTCATGTTTCCAATGCCTGGCGAGGGAGCCTGGGCCTCGAAATCGGGAGCCCGTCGTGGCTCCGCATCGTGGCCACGATCGTGGCCGCCCATTCTGAACTGCGTTCGCGCCCCTCACCGTGGCCCCTCATCGTGGCCCCCATCGTGATTTGTGTAGAGCTGTTTCGAGCATTCTGCCGCAAAGGTGTCGCTCTTTGACTGGATAGGGGGGGGCCTGTTCATGTCGGTCGCCGGTCGAGTGGGGGATGGATGTTCATCAATAAGGAGCATTGATGAAGCCCTCGCTCCAGACGGAGCGGGTCGGGGCTGGAAGCGACAGCGCACTAAATCACCTCCGCCCAGAGTGTGTGTTGGATTTGTGCAAGTTCGTGCCGATCACATCAGAACAGGACCAGCAGGAGGGGCAGAAGGAGAACATGAAGAGGGGAAGAGGAAAACGGAGTAGCAGTGGGAGGGCAAGGAGGACGGCAGTGAGCGGGAGGAGGAGGAGGAGGAGGAGGTGGAGAAGCAGGAGGAGGAGGAGGAGGAGAGCAGAAAGAGAAACGGGAGATGGGGTAGGATGAGTGATGATGGGGAGGGGGTGGAGGATGCGTGCCAGTGGTTCCCCCCTCCTCCCGCCTCCCCCCCACCCCTCCACCCTCCTGCATCCTGCCACTTCATTCCTGCTCCTGACGTCGACGACCAAGTCGGCGACGACGACGACCACGACCACGACCACGACGACGACCACGACGACGACGGAGATACGAAAACGACGACGATCGCGACGACGGGGACGACGACGACGTCGACAACGACCACGACGACGACGACGACCACGACGACGACGCGCACGACTCTGACGTCTCCCTTCTCGGCGGGGTGCGAGCGCCCCTGCGCCCCGGCGCGGCGCGGCAGCCGCGGCAACCGTGGCGTCTGCGAGCCAGGCGCATGAGCGGCGGCGGCATGCCCGCGCTGACGGACGGGCGGGGGAGGCCGCCAGGGTGGGCTGGGGCAGGAGCGAGCGGCCTTTGATGGGGGGGGGCGGCACCGGCAGGGAGCGTGGGAGGTGGCAAGAGCAGGCGGCCTTTGAGGAGGAGCGCTGGAGCGTGGGAGTTGATCGAGAAGCAAAGCAAGAGCGTAAGCATGAACTGTCGGATCTCCGCGCGGATTCTTGCTCGCGCGGTTCCTTATCCTCCTCCATCTCCTCCTCCTCCTCCTCCTTGTTTGACCTGGCCAGACCTTGCGCTTACGCGTGCTGCGCTTCCGAAGTGCTGCAAAGAAATTACAAGAAGTGCAGAAGAGTCGGCGCAAAAGGTACCTGGCGGGCGCCGCGGCTAAGGCGGTAAAGATAGAATCGTGGAAAAAGCATAGGTAGAACAGTAGGCGCCCGCCAAGTAACGCACCACGGTCAAGTAGAAAAAGAGAGTCCTCAGCCGCATGTGAAGACAGCGTAGGGGTCAGCCCATGTGGGGACCCAGCTGCGCGATTTGAGTAATGCAATACGGTTTTAATGTATATCTTTCACTCTCAAAAAGCGTGCAATATTTGTGGCTGCGACCCAGGATTTTGTAGGATAACCCCGAACCTTAGTGTCGAGCTCCTCCCCGTCGCTGCCCATCACCCACCTCCCGAAGTAAGGATCGGCACTGTCACTGTGCTGCCAGTACTCTGGGGCTGGGTGCTCGCGTAATACGGTGTCAGGCAAGGCAGCGCAGGGGTCGGCTACTGCGGGGACCCAAGCGTGTGTTGGGAGTGCCGAGATAGGGCTTGTCAGGTTTACCCCTGACCTTCAAGAAACAGCGTGCAATCTTTGGGCTGCGACCCAGGGTTTTGTAGGATAGCCCCGAACCCTCCTCCGCTAACACCGCTGGCATTAGTGAAGCACCCCTCCTCCATCACGTAAGCTGCCATGTGGCTTTGAAGGAGGACGTTAAAGTGTAACAGTTCTAGGGTTGCCGCCCGGGGTGTTTGGGTTTACCCTGAATCTCATAGGTTCGGGGACCCTCGTGCGTTTCGTAGGTTGCTGGGTGCTGCCAAGACGCTGTGAACTGTACACCTCTGCGCGGGCTGGTTTGCTGGGGCTCTTGGGTGCACATACTGCTCACGTTTAGCCTGTACATCAAAACACATAACATAATGAACTCGTGTTCTTACTCTTATGTGCTGTTAAATACGGTCCTGCTGCTATCCTGCTTGTACTCAGAGGTTGGGCTCATACATCCTCCAATGTATACTCACTGATCCCCTTTGGGATGTAAACGAGTGGCGCATTGTCGCCAAAGTGCTGCTCGTTAACTGTGGTCGAAGATTGCTGCCTGGCTGTGTCCGAGGCTGAACGTGCAAGCGTGCGCTGTGCGCTGCAACAGGGTTTTCAGGTCTACCCCTAACCTCTGAAAGAAGAGCGTGCAATATTTGGGCTGCGACCCAGGGTGTCGCAGGACCACCCCGAACCTGAGTGTACAGATCCTCCCCGCCGCTGCCCGCCATCAGTAATCCAACGCCTCTGAGAGTAGCCAGGTGAGGCAGGGCGTGCGAAGAGCGCAAAGAACAACACGCAATCCTGGGGATGCTACGCAGGGTTGTGTAGGATAACCCCAAACCTGCCACCATCTTGTCAAGGAGCCGCGCGGGAAAGGGAGGAGATGTGTATTGCAGGTCAGGGGTCAGGTAGAGAACAAAGCTGCTGAGGAACTGCTCGTACGTTGAGGCTGGTGTGCCGAACGATGTGCACTGAAAAAGTGGCTGTCGCCAAGGTATCGCTGCCTGGCTGTGTCCGAGGCTGCATGGGCAATTGTGCGCTGTGCGGTGCAATCGGGTGTTTAAGGCTTACCCCTAACCTCCAAAAGAAGAGCGTGCAACCTTTGGGCTGCGACCCATGGCTTTGTAGGGTAACCCCGAACCTGAGCAGCGAGATCCCCCACCGCAACCACCTCACAAGCCACGAGTAATGATGAGGAGGGAGGACAAGTGAGAGGCGTGCGAACGAACCGAACAAGCAATCCTATGCTGCTACCCAAGGAGTTGCAGGTTAGCCCCAAACCTATTGTTAGGAAGTGTCACTGGCATGTCGGAGGAGCCTCGGGGAGAAAGAGGATAGTGTATTGCAAGCCAGTGGTCGTGGTAGCCTGTCTGACCGCTGGTGTGGCTGTGCTACCTTACGGTAGTGGGCCTTTCTGCAGTAATCGTCCCCTTGGGAGTACTTGTTGTAGACGTTGCGGTAGTCTGCCGTGTGCCGAACATTGTAGGTCGGTTGTCATGTCTAGTTCGGGTGTTTGGTCGTGGTGTTTGTCTGCTTGGGTGTTGGGGCGGCCTTGTGTATCGTTACCATGTGCTTGGGCGGCGGCTCCCTAATTTGTACTCCACTTGTGTGTGCGTTTACGCTATTGGGGTAGGTATCGTAGGGAGCTTGGTGTACGCGAATTTTTGTCGATGCAGTTGATGAAGATGACGCGTCGGTTGAAGATGTGTATATGTGGCTCCCCGTGTCGAGCTGCGTCTTATGTGCTGCAGTTGCTTGGGCGGCTTGCGTCGGGAAGTATGTGTGCCGCGTCGCTGGCGTCTGCTGTGCTCACTGCCGCCGGTGGATGACTTGTAGCCATCGCTGTATCTTGATGTTCTCTTCAGGTGGGCAAGTGATCGGTATCATGAGTGTTGGTGGCGGTGGGTGTGGCGGTAGGTATATGTATGTTGGTGCCCGTTCGGTCATTGCAGAGAATGCAGGTGCTGTTGTGGTTGCCATTGCTGTTGTACGGTTGGTGCTCGGTGTGTTTGCCTGTTGTTGGTCTAGGTGCGATGGCGGTGGCTTGTACGGGCGCTGGCGTGATGTGGTCGTAATTGCAGTGGCCGTCTTGCTACTGTGTATCTTTGGCATGGGCGTGCTTGGTATCGTTTTCTGTGTTGGTTGCGCGTGCGGTGGGTTGTCATGCTGCGTGGCTGCTGGTGGTGCGAGCACTTTATGTTGTTTTGGCGGCTGTGTAGTCTGGTGTTCTGCTGCTTGGCTGTGTGGGTTGACAGCTGTGTTTGTTGGGCTGGTCGTTGTGCTGCTAGCGGTTCATGGTGGTGGTAGAGTGGGTGCGAACGGTTTGAGCGTGGATTGTGTTGTTGGTGGTGGTGGTTCGGTTGGTATTTGTTGGGTCGTTTGTACTGCGCTGGTGATGCGATCTCTGTCGTTGGAGCTGTCGCTGCCGTCGCGCTTGTCGTAGATGTGGTGTGTCGCGTAGTCGTACTGCCCAGTTGTATTTCATGTCGGGATCGTAGTGGCAGGTCTTGAGCCATTGTGCTACTTCTTGTATGGCTGGGGCCCTGGCATTGCTGAGCGGTGCATGCCCTCCTGCGTAGTGATGTGAATGTATGTCTGGGCTACGTGTACTCTGAATATTCGGCTGTCTCGGTATGGTGCCGCAAATGCTTGTGAGTCGTTGCCGTATCGTGGGGAGTTCGGTTGCTTGGGTGGTTTGTCCAGTTGTCGGTGTTGTGAACCCGCTTTGACTGCGTTTTTGAGCTTGATCAGTTGCGTGCAGGTCGTAGTGGGAGAAGTATAGGTGGTTATTGGGGTGGTTTATGGGTCGGGCCGCAGTGGTGGATGTGGTAAGTATTGTTCGCCGTCACGGTGTGTAAAGATCTCGTTGTTGTATGTGTTGGGGTATTTGTGCCATCCAGGTGGTAGCCGGTGGTCATTGGGTAATATGACTGTGTATGTGTAAGTTGCTCCTTGGTAGTACGCTGCATGGTGCCAAATGTCGTCTCCTTGGATGTCCTCATCTGCATCGTCGGCGTTGTGACAGTAGGTGGTCCAGCCACAGGGTAGGTGTATGCCATGATATCTGTTTGGTTTGTGCGGTGATCGGCAAGCGTCGTGGAAGTCGGATGCTCGGCCCATCTTGGCCCATGGGTCGTCTCTGTCGTTGTTGTCGTCTGATGCTGAAATGCCGTAGGTTTCGTTATTGGTCGTCTTGTCATTGGGCTGTTGGTGCGTTGTCGTTGCCCTGCGTCGGTGGCATCGGCGTCCGCGGTGGCTCGGGTGGGATGGATTCGCGGCTGTCTTCGTATTTTTCCTTGTCGTTTTTGACGCTCTTTCTCTTGAAGGTGAGATTGGGTATAGTTTGCTCTGGTGGTGGCATGTTTCTCTGACTGTTGCACATGAATCGTAACTCTTCCAGGTGGTCGTAGAAGTCCTTCTCGGTGCCGTACCGTTCTGCAAGATGTTGCTGCACAAATGCGTAGTGCTCGCCGTCTGGAAGTAGGTCGGTGCGCAATCGGAAGCCGTCCATTGTCTGTATGATCATCGCGGGGTCGTATGTGAATTGCGGTCCATGAGGGCGCGGTAGGACGTCAGATGGCTGGGCTTGAACGTAGTTCGGGTTGCAGTCGTGGTAGATGACGTATTTGCCTGGGTAGAGCTCTGCGATGGGCGTAGGCCCGAGGCTTCCGATCATTTGTGGCCATTTGGGGTCGTGCCTGGCTGGTGATTTGAGCTCGTAGCGCGTTGGAGGTGCAGGGCTTGCATGGGAACTGGGTTGGAAGCGTGCAGTGCCCGCCCATTTGGTTGAGTAGCTCGCATTCAAGGTTGGTGGCGTCTTCCAGTTCAACGTATGTGGGCTGGCCGTGCGTGACTGGTGGAGCGATGTGGCGTCGGCTCTTTTCCAGTATGCGTGTTGCCCATTGTGGACGGAGGGTCGAGGAGCCTGATGTGCGCAGTGCATCTGCTGAGTAACCGGTGAGTGAGAGTACACACTGTTCATTTCTAAGTATTCGAAAGTTCGTTGATTGTTTTTTGGGGGCAAGATCCTTTCATTTCTAATTGTGCTATCCTGGGGGCCAGGAACAAGTAGAAACGAGCACACTTAGAAATGAGCACGATTAGAAATGAACGACGTGTGGCTCAGACCCTGAGGCGATGTTGTGGTGTGAGTCTGTCTTTGGGCATACGAATGCACGTGCTTCGTAGTTCGTACTTGAACTCCGCGTGGATGGCGCAGTCCCCGTCCATCTGGAACTCGTACCGCTTGGTAGTCTGCTGGCAGGATATTTTGTGTCAGTGTCTCTTTGCGGCTTTTTTTCGGTGGCTTCCTCATTGATTCCGGAGTATTTTAGTCGTACCTTGTCTTGGTCGATGTCGTTGCTGAGCTGCTCTCATGTGTTGTGTATGAGTGGTGCTTTGCGTAAAAATATGTTTGGCCCCTCGCCTTCGATGAATCATGCCTGGTGGTCGGGTCTGTAGTCGGCTTTCCTGTAGTATGGAATTCCTTTCGGCCGTTGTGACCAATGTACTTCGACCTGATGGTGTGAGCATAGGTTCTTCCGTCCGTTGAGTGCTGATGTGAGTCGCTCGTGTAGTAGGTTCAAGTAGTTCTGATTATTGCAGGGTCGGTGTGTAATCGTGATATGCGTCTTTCGCCTGGCCTTAACCCAGCCTTTGCTGGTCGGTGCAGGCAGGTACTCGTGACCCAGTCGTGGTGAGACGTAGACAAAGTGCTTCTCGATGTCGGCCTCGGTGATCATGTCCTGCTCGTCTGGTTCGACATGTGCGCGTAGTGGTTGAGCGTATGCTGGGTCGTTGGTGGATGGTGTAGCTGTGAGTACTAGGTCGGGTATGTTGTTCCTGCCGTGGGTGCGTAATAGTGGAGGCGTAGTCTCGTTTCCTCCATCAATGTAATGCTGTGTAGACTGTCGGTGCAGCGATTCGATCAGATACGTGCGCTCTTTGTTGATGTCGTCGTCCGTCTGGAGCGATGAAGTCATGTGGATCGACAGTTAAGGTAGGTAGGCGAAGCGTGGTGCATTGGCCCATCTGTTTCCCAAAACATCATAAGTATCACTGTTGGTCGGATTGTAAGGGGGCGGCGTCGGGAACATTATGTTGAATCTGCCTGTGAGAACGAACGTGTCAGCAATCTGCTTGAGCCTGATGGTAAAGGAGATTGTGTGTGTGAGAAATATACTGGTAATGTTGTCCCCCTCCTCCTCCGCCTCCGCCTCTTCCTCTACTCCTCCTCCTCTTCCTTCTCCTCTGCTCTTTTGGGCCATCTACGACATCAACACGTGCGCAGTTGCCGCCGCTCGTCGCGCGGCGAGGCTTCACCCGTGCCTCGTCGGCGGCGTGGGGCCGCAGCGGCGCTAGAGCTAGCAGACGGTCCGAGTGGGCCTAGCATCGCTCGGACGTGTGCATTTTTTCTCGGCGAGAACCATCGAGGACCATCCTGGACCATCGAGCAAAAACAAGACGCACGATACCGAAACATGCACGGGAAATGGACGCCCGAGCGACGGCAAGTGAGACGTTCGCTCCCCTCTGCTTCGCTTTGTTGCCTCATATCACAGCATCGTGTACACCCATCAGAAAATCTTCAGAAACATCAGCTTCGATGGGATCCAGACTTCGCGTGCGACAATCGAAAGTCTGGACTGGGCCCTCGGCGGTTCCTGGGAGCTTCTTTTCCCGTGAGTCCATGCTGTTAGCTCCCAATTTCCGTCATTCCCAGCAGGGGTGTGCATTCTCCTGCGCCACCCGAGCGCCCCCAAGATCCTTCAGAGCCGCGAGCGGCGGCACGAGCTTGGGGCCACGCGGGGGCCGTGCGGCACGGAGGCCGCCGGTGTCCGCCTGCCTCGGGGGGGGGAGGGGGCCGTTTTGCCGCCGAGTCGTTGGGAGAGAGCTGCCGGTCGGGCTGAACAGGGCCCCGAGAAAAACTTCGGGGAATGTCGTCATGCTCTAAGTCTCTAAGTTGCCCGTTGGTGTTAGTCGATGCCGTTTTCGCGCGAGGTTTCGCTGCTTGCGGCATGGTGGGACACTGGGCTGACTGTGTCGTCCCTCGTTTTGGGGGCTCGGCGCCGCCTGGCGCTTTGAGGTGGCCCAGCACTGGTTCCGGCCAGCAGGGGGGGAGGGGGGGGCGAGGTTTGACGTTCAGGTGCCGAGGAGGTTTTTGCTTTGCTCGGCCTCCAAGGGCCGCTTCCAGGCACCAAGGCCGTCAGGAACGGATCTGGGGCACCCCCCGGTCGCCTCCGACGCTCGCTTCTCCTCCTCCCCTTGGCCCTCTCCCCCACGAGTGGGCGAGGGGTCGAGGGAAGCCCGCGGCGCCCGCACCCCCCGTGCAGGACGTGCAGGCCCGGGACACCGCCCGCGACGACAGGCCCATGATGTACAACCCGATCGTCTTCGTGGTCGCGCTGTCCCAGGAGCGCGGCAGGGCGCCGGCCGAAGCACACGTGGGGCCCAGCAGGCTCGTGGCGCTCCGAGGCTCGAGGCTCTCTCGCACGCTTTCGCCGGCGCTTTCGCGGTGTTTCGGCTTCGGGCTGCGCTCCAGCGGGTATACGCCTCGCCGAGGGCGTTCCAGGGGTGCCGGAGCCGTCCCGAACGGCTGCAGGAGTCCTGGGCCAAGAGCCAGCGGGCACGGGGTTGGGTATACCTTGCCCCCCCTCCGGGTTGGGCGGGCGGGAGAAACGTACAGCGTCGGCGGCCGCGCCCGCGGCGCTATGGCCAGCGGGTCGCGCCCGCGCGACTAGCGTCGACGGCCGCGCTCGCGGCGCTATGGCCAGCGGGTCACGCCGCGCGACGCATCAGGGTCGAACCCTCGCCGCGTCATGTCTTGCAAGAGTCCGCTCCCGGGAGGAGGCTCACCTCGTCTCGTTGTGCAAAAGTGCGGCGGGAGGTCTTTGGCATTGTTCAGCCTCCGGGGGCCCGCACTGCGCCCCAGGAACTGTTCAGGGTGACGTACTTGTCCTACGGAAGGGGTCCAGAATTCCAGGGGCCCACGTTGTGACAAGTCGCCCCGTCGGAGCTCTGGGGATACAGCTACCCTTGCCTCGTTTTCGCCCTGTTGGGTTTTCTTGAAGGCCTTCGCCGCCGTTTCTTCTTTCCTGTCTTATTGTTGTTATGTTTGTTTTGCTTATTCTCCTTCTGGAATTCCGCAGACCATAATCGCCCCCAGATGTAGCAACAACAACCTGGTGAGAATTGTCGAGAGGTCAGGGGCAACGCTTGGGGGGGGATCGGGCCAGGGGGGAATGCGTCAACCCCCGATCGCCCACTCATCGCCCCTCGGGGCCAGATAGCCCACCCGCTCAAGAAAATGCGGTTTCGCCATCGGAGCCCTTGTGCCAATCTATTGGGCCCTATGGGTTTCCCTCCTGAGCCCGTTCACCCCGAGCGTTCCTGCCCCGACGTCCCCCCGTCGAACGTTTCCCCTCCATGTCCCACCTTGGCGTTTCCCCGAACGTTTCCCCGCCCACCTACCACGTCCCATTCCCCCCCCCCCGCCATAACGGTTCTCCTCCCGACGTTCCCCCCCCCCCCCCCCTACCAGAGGCGTCAGGCGAACCCCGCCGCGCAGGCACGTGTTGAAGCGGCGGAGCCAGGTCGGTGGGTCAGAAACACGAGCAGCATTATCGTCGCCGTCGTCGTGCCCGTGTTGATCGCATGGCGATCGACAGCGACGCGAGTTTCGCCCGCCCCTCCCGCCTGCCGCGCCCTGCCCCCCGGCCTCGGAGGCGTGGTGTGGCTCGCCTGCCTCGGTCCAGGTGCCGCGGCGCCTGCTCTGCACGTGCTGCGCCGTCGGCGGGGGCTGGTGGGGACCCTGGCCCCCCCCCCCCATCTCCCTCCCAGTCCCCCGTCCACACCCCCGCGCTTGTGTCGGCGGCGAGCCAGGGGGGAGAGTGGGAAGGAGAAGGCCTTCTCAGAAGGCGGCAGGGCTTCTCAGGAGCTCTCGCGCCTTCTGAGGAGTGCTCCGTGTCCTCGGGGAATGCTCAGAAAACCTCAGGAGGCCATGGGACTCCCGAGCCTTCTGAGGAGGCCCGCCCCTTCTCACTTCCCCCGGGCTCCTGGCATCGCTCGGACGTGTATCTTTTTTCTCGGCGAGGACCCTTGAGGAACATCCTGGATCATCGAGCGAAAAAAGCACGCACGAAACCGAAACATGTACGGGAAATGGACGTCCGAGCGACGGCAGGCGCTCGCCGCCGATCATGCTACGGACGATGTGTGGTGGACGCTCTTGGGCTCCCGATGCGTCCTGAAAAAATGCCCGCCCCGCCTCACCAGGGGATTGACACAGTGAAGTCCTGCTCGGGCCAACCAAAAAAAACTCAGGTCGTTACCACAACTTGGCCTTGGTTGCCATCGGCAGCGAACTCGGCTCGAGCAGCCTCTTGGCTAAGATCGAGCTTGGCTGAGCTGGCTAAACGCCTCTCCTCGGCGGCGAGCGAGGGGGGGGGAGTGAGAAGGAGGCGCCCTGAGAAGGTGGCGGGGCTTCTCAGCAGCCCTCACGCCTCCTGACAAATTGTCTGTGTCATCGGGGAGTGCTGAGAAGACTTGCCAGAAGGCCGGTGGACTTCCGAGCCTTCTGAGAAGGCCCGCCCCTTTTCACTTCCCCTCGGGGCTGGCCGCCGACCATTGCCATCGGCGGCGAGCTCTGCTCGATCAGCCGCTTGGCTGATCTCCGGCTTCACCCAAGCGCTTGACATTTCGGCGCTCGGCTGGGCCTCTGGGCTTCCTCTTGGCTGACCTGGGTGCTCCAGCTCGGCCCCGGCGCGCCGCGCAGCATGTGTCCGTGCCGTCTCGGTGCGGTGCCGGGGGCGTCCCAGGGTGGATGACCTTGGCATCGCTGGGAGGTGTGCATTTTATGTCGGCGAGGACCATCGAGGGGGCCGAAACATGCACGGGGAATGGACTTCCGCGCGATGGCGAGTGGTTGGGGTGCGTGGATCTCATAGCAGGGGCCCCAGCATCTCCCTGGAGTTCATGGCCCCCTGCCCGTATGTCCATACGTCCCCTGGTCCTCCCCTCGTCCACGCACCCCCCACGGGCCATGCCTTGCGTACCCTGTCTTGGACGCCCCTCCCCCTTGGACGCCATCGACGCTGAGCAGCACGGGCGTGGGCGATCGAAGGTCCTGGCTGGCGGAGATGTCTCAAGAGAGCACCAGTCAGGAGGGAACAAACACACACACACACACACACACACACACACGCACAGACACAGACACAGACACAGACACAGACACAGACACAGACACAGACACAGACACAGACACACACACACACACACACAGACACAATTAATCGTCGATTCCCCAGAAAATATGGGAAACTATGGGAAGTGGGGGGAAGTGGGGGGCAAGACAAAAACCTAGAAAATATGGGAAACATTGGGAATCTGGCTATCTGTGTGTATTTATTGGTGTGTCCCAGTTCCCCTGCAACCGGACCAGCGATCGGCGGGCGAGGTTGCGCCGACCGAGAGCAGCGGCGAGGCGCCGAGGCCCAGCGCCCATCCCACGCCCGGCCAGCACAGCGCCGGCGCAGACCTCGCGCAGCTCGACGGCGAGCTCGGCGGTCGTGGCGCCTGTCACGGCCGTCGGGGGTGGCAAGGACGGGGGGTGATGACTAGGGGGGGGTGGATATCATGGCGGGGGCCATGATGTCTCCCCAGATTTCATGGCGCCTCTTCTTATTTTTCATTACGTCCCTGCCCCCCCCCCCCCCCGGGGCCGCGCACATGCCGCCGGCCATGATTTGCGCCCCCCTCTCTTGGCCGCTCCCCTCTTGGCCGCCCCCGAGTTTGATGTGTCGTCTAATCGGTCGTTGCTGCTACTTTTAGTGTCTGTGGCCAGCGTGGGCTCGGCGCGCATGTCGCATAAATGGCTTGCTAAGTCGCGACGTCGTGACGTTTGCCACGCTCGATATGTCGTCTCATCGCTAGTCGTTGCGCCTGTTTTCGTTCTGTGGCCAGCCTCGCGCCGCCGTTGATGTTGCGTTCGGTAGGGCGCAATCGATCGGCCGCTGTTGTAGATTTAACGCGCGCAGCGATGGTATATTCGATTATGTTCTAGTCTGGTATACTGTAGTGTGCCCTCTTGTGTTCTCGACGGGCCGTCGTGACGTCGTGACGCCTGTCACGCAAGATACGTCGTCCAATCGGTCGTTGCTGCGCCTGTGTGTTCCTGTGGCCAGCCCGACCCCGGCGCGCACGTCGTGTTTGATTCTGGTGATGTGCGGTCGATCATGTTATGATGTTCCCCTGCAGTGTTGAGCCATTGTATTATGCGAAACAAAGAATACGCTGCTATGCTCAGCTCGGCCATGCAATGAGCTCGTATGTTGTGTCGTCGTATTCGGCTCAACTATGTTCTGGTATGCGGTGTACGCCATACTATGTTCACTGTATTATGTCATGCTCGGTTCAGAAAGTGACATTCCTGTTCCAGTATACCCAGATCTGTGATGTGATAGTCGATTCGCTGCGTTAGTGGTTGCAGCCGTGCAGTCGTACGACAAGTAAAGTGTGCGACGTTATGTCGTCGTATTATTGTTCAGCTATGTCGGGCAGCATGCGATGATCGATTATAGTTGTTGCCGAAATGATGACAAGCATGCGACATGTATGACCTAGTATGTTGAAACATGTATGGACTACACGAGTTTGCTTCCCATTCGCACGTAATGCTAGGTTATGTTATGTTGTGATCGATGTTGTGTTGGGTGTTGCTCTGTTATGCCATGCTGTTGTCTGGTATGGCATGTGATGTCTTGCTATTTCATGTTCTGTCATGGCGCTCTCTGTCATGGTATGACTTGCCGTGTTATGGTACGGGATGGTATGTGACGCGTTGTTGAATTATGGTATGGTATGTCATGATGTGGTGCGATATGTTACGTTATGGTATGCCCTTCGTTTATTTGCTGCACTGTTATAGTACGCTATGTTGAGCTACGCCGTGTTGTAAAGGGCCCGCTCTGTCATATCATGATTTGCTATGCGCTGGTATGTTTTGCTATGCTGGTATTATGCTCGGTTATGCTATGCCATGCTCTGTTATGCTCTGTGCTGTTAGTCAAGGTGCGGGAGTCGGGTCTCGGGGATCCTCGACGACCCGGGGATCTGGCGGCCGCGGTATGCAGAGTGAGCGAGTCGGGTCTGGAGGGGCAGGAGTCCTGGGGACTCTGGGTGGACCTGGGGATCTGGCGGCCGCGGCACGCAGGGTTGGCGGGTCAGAAGGTGTGTTCTTAAGATCGAACGACCCCTCCCTGCCGGGTGGAGAGCAAGCACGCAGAGTCCAGTGCAGAGGAGGGCGGAGTTTGTTGGGAAAAACTGCGACCCTCCGCCCCCCCACCAGGTCCCCCTCCAACCCCTCTGGGATCAGGCCGGGGAGCTCCAGAGCCCGAGTGTGAGGGTGGTTCGCAGAGGCGGCGGAAATATTATTCCCTCTTCCCACTTGGCCGCCCCCCCTCTTGGGAGGGGGGCCAGGTGCTCTTTTGCGAACCTGACGGGGTGGGCGATGTGAGGACCTCAGGGGGTTGGCAGCGTGCGATGGGGGCGGCTTTCTACAGAGGCCGTCCGTCTAGAAAGGTACGGACGGCATCGTTTTGTGAGGACAAGAGAAGAACGAATTGGACACGTCTTCAGTGCAAGTTAGGTCACATCAATTGCGAAGCATGGTGAGCCGTTCGAAGATAAGGGCGCTGCCCATGATTAATCGCATGGCGTTTACCCGCTAGCATCTGGCACGCTCCTGTATCTGATTGGTGTTGGTGTGATCATTCGTGCGGCCACCGTAACACTCGCGGGCAGGATTCCCAAGGTGGGAGATATCGAGGAGGGAAGGATGGGAGAGAGTGGAGAGTGAGGTGGGGAGGAGCAGGGAGCAGAGACGGCAGAGGTCGGGCTATTGGAGGATGGGGTTAGCAAGGGTCTGTGGAGGAGGGCGGGCCCGGGCAACAGGACGCGAAGTACGACGGGACCATGAGGACCTGGTGTGCGCTCTCGACAGCTCCCAGGGTGCTTACACCAGCTTGGGTGCCACCAAGTGTCCACTACGCTGGGGTTCACCAGACGGGGCTAGGACGAGGACAAATCCGTTCCAGAGCTTTCTGGAACGCTTTCAGAGCGTTCAAGAACGCTCTGAGAAGGCCGTGGCGCCCGAGACATCCTCCAGAGCCGCCAGATCTGAGACATTCTCGCCTGGTCCTCACCCGATGTTATCCTCGTCCTGGCTTCCTCTTAGTTCGTGATGTGATGTGTACAATCAGGCCCCCTTCGTTTCTTCCCCGTTTGCATCGTCCTCCTCCTCCTTGCACGGGGGCAGTCCTTTGAGTGACCAAGCTCGCAGGCGCATAGCGAAGGGTCGTGAAACGCAAGAAGGAAGCCTGAAGAGAGGGGATGGACAACGTGCATTAGCAGCATTAGTGATAACGAACGGTCGTTCCGCTTGGAGCGACGTGCAACCGCTCTGGTTAAGCTTGAGTAGATCTTGCTGGACGGTACCAGGTAGGCCTCGATTCACATGTCAGAAGCCTGCTAGGCACTACCAGATATATCTTTCGCGACCAGTCCGGGGTCCCAGGACAGTCGAGTCAGCTAGAGTCGAATAGCCTCGGGCCCTGGGAAGTGGTGTGAATCAGCTCCACGCCACCTGCCCCCCCAAAGGACACAAAGAAGAACCATAGTTTAGAGAAGGTTTTTAGAACTTGGTTGCTCAAAATCCGCTACCGTGCGCCTGTGCAGATGCAGGAGGCATGCGTGCAACCAGCCAGTTGCAGAGCAGCAGGGCTCCCCGCAGGGTGTCCAGGCAGGGGGGAAGCGACGAAAAGTACTCGATGCAAGCCCGCGTTGCCCTGTATTTGCGGCGGGGCCATTCTGACGCTCGCGATGCTCGCGCCTGGCAGCGTTCTCGGCGCGGACTACCCGTCGCACTACCCGCCGCACTGCCCGCCGCACTGTCCGCCAAAACCTACAAGCTGTCATTTGGCAGGAGGCACGGGAAGCGAGTGGTTTCAAGAGCATCGTCGATGGCGTGGGAGGTTGCGCCACAGAAGATACTGAGCAGGCCAAAGGCAATCTACACCGTCAAGCTACATCGCAATCTGCGTTCGAAGGTCTGTGCAGTAATGCCGCTGACTGATTGCCTGTTTCATCCTTCTACTATGGGTCATGGGGTACGGGTTCTAACTGCGAGGGCAATGACATTACTTTCCTTGAGCAGGAGGCCATTGCCCACCAGAACGGGTGAGGGGTGCCCCCCACAGCTGCGAGTTGCAGTCCAAGGTCTTAGTCAGTCAGAATGCTACAGCCAGGCTGCCTTTGCACCCTATCCCCCTTCGGCGTCCTGGCCCGATGCGTGCCAAATTTGTGGGCCCGACGGCCGATGCCCTGAGCTCGGCATGGGCGCCCAAGTGATCTTGCCCTCGTGCCCGGCATACTTTCGTCCCGTATTTACTGCAGCCCTCCCAAAGAACAACGGCATACACATGAATGTCCGACGGTCCGAGCATTCGCGTGGGCTCCGCGCGACCACTACAGGCCCGAAGAGTTGGAGCGGACGGCGCTCGAAGAACGAGCCAGACTGCTCGCATCCAAGCTGTTTTGCATCAATTGCAAGCAGTCCGGAGGCGTCCTGGCCCGTAGGCTCTCCGAGGAATGTTCACATAATAACGTTTGTGGTTCTCACGGACTTCTCAGAACACTTCTGGCTGAGACCCTCTTGCGTTGATGCATCGGTTTTGTGTTCTAGAAGTCTTGCAGGTGTTCTGAGAAGGTTTCGCGGTCGGTCTACAGGATTGCCAGGACGGGCGATCCCTGCTCAACAGACACAAAGACATGCAGAAGATAAAACAAACACAAGTCCACGGCGGGGCCTTGGACTTGAAGCCTCTGGCCTCGGGGATCCTGCACGACGGCCCCCGCTCTGGAGGCCCTCCGATCTTTGGCCTGGCGACAGCTCTGGGTGTCCATGAAGATGCCCTCGGGTGCGGGGGTCTGAGGAGCTCTTCGCATAGTCTGTTCCTTGACCCTTGGCCTTCCGAGAGGTTTCCTTTCCGCCTGGGGGTGTCATAAAGAGCCGCATCCGGCTTTGCTTAAGCTTCCCTGGAAGGTCTGGGGTCTGAGGCAGCGGCTTGCGGAAGCTCGGCAGGGGCCGGCGGGAGCACAGTGAGCAGGCGGCAGTCCTGAGTCATGTTCCCCAAGCGGTGCTTGCACTGAGGGTTTCTTGCGCCTCCCGCTGAATGGTTGGGTGGATCTTCCATCACCACCCACCAAACCACCCCAACCCAACCCGAAGGCCTCAGATTGACCTCCATTTCCAGTGGGGGGGGGGGGTCGGGGAACATCGAGAAAACACATATGGAACCCGTACCCCCCCCCCAACCCGAGATTCGAGTCTTCGGGTTGGGCTGGGGTGGTCTGGTAGGTAGTCATTCCAGGTTCTCACTCAGTTCAGAGCCCCGAATCATCAGGGGTAACTCGGGTCAGGGCTAACTCGGGTTCCTTTTCCGGGAATCCAAACCCGAGTTACCCCGGACCCGAGTTACCCCGGATAACTCGGGCGTCCAGAGCCCCGAATCATCAGGGATAACTCGGGTCAGGGCTAACTCGGGTTCCTTTTTCGGGAATCCAAACCCGAGTTACCCCGGACCCGAGTTACCCCGGATAATTCGGGCGCCCAATCAGTGCCCGCCCGTGGGGCACTCGGTGATCGCCCCGTGCGGTGGCCGCGTCTTCGGGACTCCAGGCTTTTTCGCGCGGTGCCCGCCCTTGAACGAAGGATTGCAAAAAAACCGAAGGATTGCAAAAACGAAGGATTGCAAAAAAACCGAAGGATTGCAAAAAAAACCCTTTGCAATCCTTCGGGTTTTTTTTGCAATCCTTCGGGTTTTTTTTGCAATCCTTCGGGTTTTTTTGCAATCCTTCGTTCAAGTGGGGTCGCGGCGGCGAGGCCAGCGGCCGCCGCCCGGCCAGCTCGTGGCCACCTCCTGCGACGGCTGGGCTCCCTTGGCGTGGCCGCCCCGTGGCCGCCCGCCGCTGCCACGCGGGTTGCAGCCGCACAGTCTGCACCCCACGGTCCTCCTCCTCCTGCTCCTCCTCCTCCTGCTCCTGCTCCTCCTCCTCCTCCTCCTCCTCCTCCTCCTCCTCCTCCTCCTCCTCATCCATCTCCTCCTCCTCTTCCTCCTCCTCCTCCTCCTCCTCTTCCTCTTCCTCCTCCTCCTCCTCCTCCTGACAGTCTGTCACCACCCACCAAACCACCCCAACCCAACCCGAAGGCCCAAATTTATCCTCGATTTCCAGTGGGGGGGGGTCGGGGAACGTTGAAAAAACACATGGTATCCGTACCCCCCCCACCCGAAATTCGGGTCAAATTCGGGTCTTCGGGTTGGGTTGGGGTGGTCTGGTAGGTAGTCAGTCTGCACCCCACGGGTTGCACCGCACATCTGGACGCCCGAGATGGGCACGGAAAGAATGGGTACGATGTCCAACAGCAGTTCCTGTTCATTCTGGACAGGATTCGCTGTCCACGCCGCCGCGGCCGCTGTTGGTCTGGGGCAACATCTGTTGTTGGGCATTGCACCCATTCTTTCGGTACCCATTCTGGGTGTCCAAAGCACAGGCTGCAGCACGGGCGCTGCACCCCGCAGCTGGCGCAGCACGCGCAGCTATTCCCCAGACGGGGCGTCTGCCCAGGGGCTCTCACCTGGTCTTCTTAGCAACTGGGTTGGGCCGACCGAGGCTTCGCCACAGCCCCGCCCGTGGGCGCTGGGCGCTTCGTGGCCGCTTTGTGCCCGTGGTGCACCCGTGGGCGCCTCGTACTTTTGAGTTCAAGAAGCGCGTTTTTGTCGGAATTCCAAAACTTGTTGTTTGAATTCACGAAATCGTCTTTTTGTTTTGAACTTTTTGAACTCGCAACCGTAAACATGCGCTTCGTTTCCTGACTGTCCGCCGAGGTTTCGCCACGTGTCCTCCCAAGGGCGCCTCGTGGGCGCCTCGTGCCCTCGGGCAACTATCCCGCCCGTAGGTGCCCTGTGGGCGCCTCGCCATTCTAACGAGATGGCCATCGCATGGACAAGGACACGATGGGGGCGCAAAGAAAATACACCACCACCACCACCACCACCACCACCACCACCACCACCACCACCACCACCACGTCGATTCCTCCTCTCTCCTCTTTCCAGCGAGAGGGAGGGGGGGGGGCATGAGGTGGTGGTATATTTTTGGTCCCCCTACATGACGTAGGGCGGGTACCATTCGGGGAACGAGCAATGACATAAACATGAAACTCGGAGGTCCGCGCGAATTTCTTGAATCAGCGCTCGACCCCCCTCCCTGGCGCGCGGAGCGCACCAGGGACGGCGCCGGAGGCGCCGCCAGGGGGCCCCAGCGCCGATCCGAGAAATCCGCGCGGACCTCCTAGTTTTTATGTTTATGTCATTGCTCGTTTCCCCAACCATCGCTCTCAGCGATATGGTTAGGGAGCCCCGAGCTGGACGTCCTGATTGAGCGCCAGTGAGGTGACGCCGTGGCATTGGCCACGGACTCTCCTTGCCCAGTTAACCCGTACAAGCTAAGCATGCTCGAGTTCGTCCCAGTCAGCCCCAATGTTGGGATCATTGTGTAGAAGGATTGCTGCTGATCATGGGCTTGTGGGTTGGTAGCGCGTCGATGAATGGCATACTTCATATGCGGGAGAGCTTTCGATTGGCCTTCACGGCATGGCATCTTCGCGCTTACCCGTGTTTCGGGTATCTTCTTCGCCACGCAGGTCGACTCGCAATTGACCCTTCTTCGGGAAGTTCAGGTCCAGCGGCCCTGTCCACCTCTTTGCATCGCTTGGACGTGTGCATTTTTCCGTCGGCGAGGAACATCGAGGAGCATCCTTCATCATTTGGCGAAGAAGCCACGCACGACACCGAAAACAACACGGGGAATGGACGTCCGAGCGATGGCCAGACCCAGGTCCAGCGCAGCCGCTTTCAGCGCGGCCGAAGCCGATAGGCGGGGCCGATGCCAGGCGACTTTGCACAGCACCATGGGGAGCAGGCGGAGGACAACCGCCGCCCCCTCCTGCTGCAGCGGAGAGAGCGGCCAGCACTCTCGCACACCGCGAGCGCAGTGGAGTGGGGCTGTGGCTCGCCTTCGCGCTGTGTGGACGGCATAGAGAAAGATCCTCCTCCTCCTCCTCCGCCTCCTCCGCCTCCTCCTCCTCCTCCGCCTCCTCCTCCTCCTCCTCCTCCTCCTCCTCCTCCTCCTCCTCCTCCTCCTGCGCCGCGCGCGGGTCTCCCGCGGCCGGAGCGCCGCAATTGGGAGCCGGCGCGACCCCCCCCCACCCCAGGTGCGGCCCACCGCTCGGCGGCGAGCCGCCCCCCAGGAGGAAAGGGTGCGCCTGTCGGGGCCTATAGTCAAGGGCTCCCCCGAGGGCGCGAAGTTATTCGCGCTTCGCGGTCCTCGTTCCTTCTCCCCCTCCTCCTCGTCCTCGTATTCTCCCTTTGGGAGAGCGGCGCGAGAGCGCGAAGTTATTCGCGCTTCGCGCTTCGCGCAGCGCGAAGCGCGAAGTTGGGAGCCCTAGTATAGTTGGCTTGCCCGGGACCACATCGGCGAGCGGCTCGCCTTTGTGGCCGCCTGGCCTGCGGCCTGGGGCCTGCGGTCCCACCGCCAGGCGCCGCGGTCCCACCACCAGGCGCCGCGGTCCCACCGCCAGGCGCCGCGGTCCCACCGCCAGGCGCCAGCCCACCTCCCGCGGCCCGGCCCGCAGCGCCGCCCCGCCCCGCCCCGCCGTCAGCCAACGCGCCAGCCTGGGCAGCTCAGCCCCCGCCACGCTTCTGGCCCTGTGCCGCGGCTCAACGGCTGCCCCCACCCCGGGCCCGGCAGTCCGCGCGGCTCAGCGAAGCCCGGCGGCGCGCCGAAGCTGGTGCGCCACCTGGCGCTGCAGCGCGCAACGGAGCGCCTTGTAGGCGCGCGCCAGCTCCCGGGGCTTCGTGTCCTCGGGGAGCTCGCGCACCTGCGCCAGCAGCCACTGCCGCGCCTCAGCGCCCAGGCGTCCGGAGGTCTCCAGGGCGAAAGCCGTGTGCCGCTCTCGTGTTTCTCGCGCTCGGCCCTGCGCGTAGCCTCTCCCGGCCGTCGCGCCGCAGTCCGGAGAGCCGTCTCGTCGCCTGCCGCAGGGTGGCGGACCGTCACGTCCACCCACCGGGTGCCGTCCACCTCCCCGTACTGGAGGTCCAACACGGCGCGTTCCAGGACCGGCGGCCGGGCCCTTCTGCCGGCCGCCGCGCACGGTGCCTATCCCAAGCCGGGACTCGTGGCGCCACCTCCCTGCCAGGCTCCCCAGCGTCTTCTCCAAGTCGCCGTGGCGCCTCACGACGCCCCCGCCAGACTGGCAAGTGCAGGCCTGGTAGCCGTCTTCGTCTAGCGGGGCCGCGCAGGTGGCGCCGCTCGCCGTCTGGTTGCAGCAGGTAATTAACAGGGGCCCGAGCCAGCTCCGCGAGCGAGCACTCCGGCCGCGGCAGCTGCAGGCGGCGGCGGAGGGAGGTGCTCCAGTCCACGTCTTCCAGTGTGCAGAGGGGCTCCGTCGGGTACTGCATGAAGCCGCCTGCCCCAGGGCCGCCCGCAGACAGCAAGGTGGCCTCGCTGCGAAGATCCATTCGCTGCTTGGCAGCAGCGTGAGCTGTCTTGTGGATAATCGCAACGACCGTCGTCTGTCGCGTCCCCTCCCGGATTGCAGCAGCCAGCGGGGCCCCTGGGGAGGGTTCGGCGCCCTGGCGCGCCAGCTCTGCGCGCGCCTCTCCGAGCTTCACGCGCGTCTGCGGGAGCGTCTCCAGGGCATATGCAAGCGAGGCGGCGCCGAGGCCGCGCTGCACCTCGCCTGCCGCCTGCGTCCAGGCCGCCCACACGGCCGCCCTGCGCGTGGCTACCCACTGGGGCCCCGCGCCACCCAGCTTCGCCGGCAAGCCCAGCAGGTCGCGAGCCTCGGGCCCGAGCGGCCGCTCCTCCTCC